TCACCCCAGTCAAAATAGCAAAATTTAACAGAACAGCAAGCAACAAATGCTGGCAAGGTTGTGGAGAAACTGAACCCTGATTCACTGTTGGTGGGAGTGTAAAATGGTCAATTTCTTTACTTTTAAATAAAGATTTCTTTTTATATTAAAATTCCTCATGTTTGAAATACAGAAAATTGTTAACACGTGCAGTTCTTTCAAAAGTTAATTCTTATTTATGCATAAATAAGTTGTTACTGTTGTGAGACTCCATCAAGTCAGTTCTGATTCAGAGCAACCCCGTGTACAACAGAACAGAGTGTTGCTGAGACCTGCACATCTTCACAGTCATGCCTGAGCCCATCCTTGAAGCCACGGTGCCGACCCCTCTCGCTCAGGGTGTTCTTGTTCACTGCTCCTCCACAAGCGTGCTGTCTGTACTCGGGATGCGTCCTTCCCAATAGCATGTCTTGCCATCATTCCTATGAAGGAATGTTTCAGTTATGCTTCTTCAAGACGTATTTATTCATCCTTCTGTCTGTCAAGAAGTTAATTCATATCATTTGTTAACATAAAAATTCAAAAACACCAGTTCTTCATTATCTTTCTTACTCATTGCCTATGTTTTGTATACAATTAAGGCATCTGAAAATACCAAGACTTGGTTCAGGCACACGTTAGGCATCAGAATTACGTCTTTGAACTTTTCACATTAAAGAGATCTTCCCATTAAATAAAAAAATTAAAGTGTTGCAGCACAATATTGAAAGATTCTATGGACAGAACACAGAAAGCATTAAAATATGATGGAAGGAATACTTTAGTCTCTGTACCAAAAAAGAACCCATTGCATTTCAGCCATGTCAGGAGGTAGCATAAGGTCAAGAATCGATGGTATTGAAATAAGTCTAAGCTGCACTGAAGGCACTTAGTGATTAATGAAAAACAAGGTTTCAACACTTGAGATATTTTCTTTTCAGCCAAGGAAGCTCTGCCCATTTGATTTTCTAACTCCAGGTCTTCACACATTTTATTGTAATACTTTGCTTTGTCCTCTCAAGCTGTTGTTGTTGTTATGTGCCGTGAGTCGTTTGCGACTCATAGCGACCCTATGTACAACAGCCCTAAACCCTGCTCTGTCCTGTGCCAATCGCACTGTCTCTGACACACCCATCTGATTACCCCAATCACTGAATCAATCCACCTCATAGAGGGTCTTCCCCTCCTGCGCCGTCCCTCCACCCTACCAAGCATGATGTCCCTCTCCAAGGACCTGTCCCTCCTTACAACATGTCCAGAGTATGTTAGACAAAGCCCCAGAATCCTTGCCTCCAAGGAGCCACCTAGTTTAACCCTCTCCAGGATGAATCTGTTTGTTTTCTTTGCAGTCCATGGTACATTCTATACTATTCTCCAGCACCACAGCTCAAAGGCATCAATTCTCCTTCTGTCCTCCCTAGTGATTGTCCAACTCTCTGATGCATAACAAGTGATTGCAAAGACCATGGCCTGTATCAGACACAATCAGTAGATGTCATTAACTGTGTTCTTAAAATTGTTTAAAAAATTTTAATTTTTTAAAAATTAATGGTTTATTTGCAAAGTTCATCTACATTGTTTTTCACACCAGATCTTTCCCATTTGCTTCACCCACCTCTCCCTCCACCCATCAAATTGTCATTTTTTAATATGCAAAGAAAGAGTTATTTGCCCCACCTATATTTTGTTTCCATTACTCATCTGTCATCTGTACTATGATTAGTGACTATTAGGAAGATATTTAAATACTAGCAAGTTAACCCTTTGCCTCTGAGTGGATTACAACCCTTAGTGAGCATACAGAGCACGTTAGAACTGCCCCGTAGTGTCCCCAAGGTTGCAGTCTCTATTGAAGCCAACTGCCCTATCTTTCTTCTGTAGAGCCCCTGTTGGGTTTCAACAACTGACCTTTTGTAGAGTGACTGTTGGGTTCCAACAGCTGACCTTTTGGTTGGCAGCCGAGCACTCAGCCACTTAACTAGAACTCATCGAAGTATGTGAGTGGCCTGAAATAACTAATATGTTTATCTGTGCCCTTTCAAGAAAATGTTACTTCAAAAGGATCTTCTGTGAGGTGCAAAGGATGTTAGATCAAAATTTTATGAAAAGGTAGAATAGAACCAAGTCTGAAGCAAAGTGGGGAAAGAGGAGAGAAAAACAAAGAGGCCACCTTCCATGTGGCAGAGACACAATCAGGCTTTGAAAGCACAAAATAAAAATGTTCATTCCTTCTTGAAAAAGGAAGTTTCACCAGAAAATGTCATTTAAAAAGAAGAAAACCTTAACACCAGAGAGAAAAGACCTCTGGTAGCATAGTGTATATCAGGCTAATCAAAAGGTTTTCATCCAGAATTTGTATCAGAATCTTAAATTTCAGACATCTCAGAAATGCCACATCCATTGATAGTATTGTGGCTAAGTCTTACGCTTTAAACTTGTTCTAAATAGACTTCTTTTTGTGAAATGAAATTTTAATATAACTACAGTTTGTTTTATACCAGAAGGAAGACATTTCCTATATTGCTAAAAAAGAAAATTCTTATGTCACTTTACCATATTTTTATATGTTAATCACTGATAGGAACAAGTTTATCTCTATTGTTTATATATACATTTAAATTCATTTGCAAGGGAAATATAAAAATTCTATTGTCAAGGTAGACAGCACTTCTTAAAAAAGACTTTCCACAAATTTAAATAAAGGATAGTTAAGTTATTCAATATGATAGCTAATGCTGTTGGCAAGGTTTTAACCCGGAATTTCATTTCTTTAATATATATAAGACAAATCAGGTAATCTATTTCTTTAAAAAAAATAATAATACATTAAGTGAAAGTTTACAAAACAAAATGGTTTTACAGTCACTCGGTCATACACATTTTCTTTTATAACTTTAGTTATGGTAAGTACAGTGTGATAACTGTTATCCAGTATTGAAGAATTTTCAAAATTTGAGCCTATATTTTCAATTAGAAGAGATTAATACAATGTTACCAACAAAGTTATCTCTGGATCACTTTCTTCTTAATAAGAGATATTTATCAATATAAATTAATGCGATTCCAGCAAAGTCTTATTTGTGACTCTCAGGGACAATTAAATGATTTTTAGATGTCAATAGATAGTACAAAAATTGAAGGACCTGTTTTATCTCTTGAGTTATCAGAGCCAAAGATTTTTTCTTGATTTGGGATAAACTGTAATCATGATATAGGCTACTTATAAACAGCAAGATCTCATGTGTCTAAGGTTGAATTTTTTGATTGTTCTTTTGAAGTTCTGGTTATCTTCTCTATAAAACAAAGAGTTTAATTTCTAAACGCCTTATAGCATTAAAACTGCTCCTCTTTGTGTTTTATTTTATTGAGTTGAAATGTAGAAATATTTACTGAACTGGAAAAGTATAAAACTATGGCACAGTTTTTCAAATATTTTGACTAAAAGTTTAAATTTTATGGGTTATGTAGAATTGTTAAGAGAACACGTGACTTTTAAATAATCCAAGCAATTTCTAAGACTCTCAAAGGAGCTACCCTAACAATAGATTTAGATCTACTTGATGTTCTAATGATAGCCTGTTTGAATGAGAAAAAAAATCTAGTGTTAATATTTATTTTTATTTTTCCTTTACTTGTAGGCTTCGCATATCATTTAAATGGATGGTTCGAGCTTTCTCTGGATACTTAGCTACAGATCAACTCTTGCTTTTGTGGGACAGAATTTTAGGATACAACTCTTTGGAAATTCTTGCTGGTAAGAGTAAGCATTTATTCATAAACACATGCTGGTTCTACAGGAGGGCCCCTTTCCCTACCTGTAAAATGGCTTTGACAAGTGTATGCAATTTCTAACGCAAGAGTATTTAATAGATTCATCTGACTTAGAAGACAAGTACTAAGTCTTTGACCTAGTTACATCTGACTTATAAAAATTATCCCATTTCAGTCATTTTGGTTCCCAAAAAGTCCATATTCCTCTCCTTCTTCTCTCTTGTTTTAATATCAAGAAACCCTCTGCCAGGTTTCCAAGGCTGTAAATCATGATGGGAGGAGGCTGTCCATCTTTCTTCCTTGGAGGCCCTAGGAGATCCAAGCCACTAGTGAGCTGCAGCATTTGAGTTAGTAGTGTAGCTACCAGTGGACTGTGCTCCCTCAGGGCTTTCTACCTCCCCGACCCTGTGAGTTCTGTGCTGTAAAATATGGATATTCTTAAAAAAAAATAAAAAAAATAAACATGGATATTCTTCTTCTGTGTACAGCCCTGGCTATCTTAGTGCCTGTCCTGTACTTCTCAGCTGATTCCTAAACTCTAGGCTGAGACTTTCTGAATAGTGAATCTGTTACCTCGGTCCAGCTCTCCTGGGCCTATTTAATCTGAATTCAAAACTTTCCCCTTTTTCTGACAGTCTCTGACTCCTGTCCTGTGGCTGTTTCATCTCTTGGGGGAAGAGGGGAAATGGAATTTTTCTCCCAGGAAGTCACAATCTCATCTCTCATTTAATTAATTAATCCGTTCTAAAGGTAACTTAATGTCTGCTTACACCAAAGAAAACAGCACAGATTGCTTATCAATGCTATTGGTTTGCTTTCTATATTCTAAATAAAGTCAATTATTGCTGTTATTGGCATTATCAGGAAATCTAAATAGTAGCTACAAGGTTTTTCACAGCAAGGAGGAAGACTAGATGGGTTAGCAATCATACAGCCAATCACAGCAAGGAGGAAGACTAGATGGGTTAGCAATCATACAGCCACCCACAGTTGTATGATCTCGAACAGTTTATTTAACCTCTGTGAGCCTTTGTTTTCTTACCTTGAACTGATAACAATGTTCATTCACATCTCTGGCTCTTGTGGAAATTATGCTTAGTTGAAGAAGACTCTACAAAAGATTCTCTGGGTAATGGGTATCATACTGAGCAGAAAAGTTAGACTAGTAAAACTGTGAAGATGAATGTTAATACTTGTATGATCAGAGACATCATTTACTCATGATTTTTGCAACTCCTAGTATCCAAGGATTGTCACCACTAAGCCAATTGGCAGCAACATGATAGACGGACAAGAGATCGAGCTTGTTAACAATTACAGATTGTTCAACTCCACAATGAACACTCTTGGCACCAGCAGTCAGAAAATCAAAAGACTAATTGCACTGGGAAAATCTGCTGTCAGGGACCTCTCCAGAGTGCTGAGTTGCAATAATATCAGTCTGGGGACTAAGGTGCACCTTATCCAGGTCATGTTCTTTGCAGTTACTTGCTATGCATCAGAAAGTTGGACAACAACTAAGGATGACAGAAGAATTTATGCCTTTGAGTTGTGGTGCTGGAGCCTTGGACCAGCAAGAAAACAAATAGGTCTATCTTGGAGAGCGTGAAATCAAGTTTCTCCTTGACAGCTAAGGCATGTGGCCAGGAGGAACCAATCTTTGAGAAGGACATCATGGTTAGAAGGGCGGAGGGATATCACAGGAGAGGAAGGCCCTGGATGAGATGGAATGATATAGTTAATGAGGGTGATGGTATGTCCAAGTCAGTGAGACTGGCTTAGGACAGGACAGGCTTCAGAGCTGTTGTACATAGGGTCACTATGAGTCACAGGTGACTCGACAGCACATAACAACAGCAATAGTATCCTTCTCTCTTAATTGTTTTTCTTTTATGTCTATGCAATCACGAGTTAGGAAAGAATGGTCTATGCCTTTGGGCTGATTGTCAGTGATACCAAAGGAATCCTAGAGGTAACCAGGTGTCAGTTATTTTTAACATTTCTGACAAGCAATCCTTATCTTCTGTTTGAATGCCAGTGTTACATAATCCCTGTCTCTCCAAATAATCCTTTTCTGGGTATTCTGGGGAGTTCTGGTGGCCTAGTCCTTACCAAGCTGTGCTACTACCCAAAGGCCTTGCATCTCCACGCAGTTTAAGTCCAACTGTGAGAAAGAAAGATGAGCTGTCTCCTCCTGTTGAAATTTGCAGCCTCAGAAATCTAATGGAGAGCCACAATCCATTGAGTTATGGGCATTGAAGAAATTTTGAAGAGTGTTGTATATGACTTTTGATACAATTTTTTGCAGCAGTTCATATATATATGTATATATATAAAGCAACTATTCTTTTTTTTCAATGCAGTAAACATAATTTATCCAGTTTTTCTCAGTCTTACCCCCACCCCAATGTCAGCCTCATTCTATAACAGTGGCACCATACAATATTTGTCTCTTTGTGACTGAGATTTTTTACTCAGCATAATGTCTTCTAGGGTCACCCATTTTGAATAATATTGCAAGAGTTCCTTGTTTTTCAAAGCAGCATAGTATTCCATTGTGTGATTATGCCACAGCTTCTCTATCCATTCCTTTGTTGATGGGTACTTAGATTGTTTCCAACTCCTTGCTATTGTAAATAAAGCCGCAATAAACATGGGTGTGCATATATCTGCTTGGATGTCATTTATGGTCTTTATAGGGTATATTCCCAGTAATGGAATTGCTGGATCAAATGGTATCTCTATTTGCAACTTTTTGAGAAAGCGCCAAACCGCTTTCCACAGTGGTTGCACCATTTTACACTCCCACCAACAGTACATAAGGGTTCCAGTCTCTTCACAACCTAGCCAGCATTTGTTAGCTGTTCTGTTAAATTTTTCTATTCTTACTGGGGTGAGATGATATCTCATAGTTGTCTTGATTTGCATCTCTCTCAGGGCTAGGGATTTTGAACATTTCTTCATGTGCTTCTTGGCCATCTGAATGTCTTCTTTGGTAAAGTTTCTGTTCATATCCTGTGCCCATTTTTCTATTGGAGTATTTACCCTTATCTTGTGGTGCTCAAGTATTTTATAAATTCTAGATATAAGTCCCTTATCTGACATGTCATTACCAAAGACTTTTTTCCAGTCTGTGGCTTCCCTTCTTACCCTGTTGGAGAAGTTTTTAGATGTGCATAGGGATTTGATTTTTAGAAGGTCCCATTCATCTATTTTATCTTCTCCTGGTTCTAAATTTTTCAGGATATTTGGAAAATTCTTTATGTTGTGGAGAAGGACTACTAAAGTTCTTCCAAGCTTTTCTTGAATGAAGTTCATAGTCCTTGGTTTTAGTCCAAGGTCCATGATTCCACCTTGAGTTGGTTTTTGTGAGGTGTGGATCTTGTTTAATTTTTCTGCCGATAGTTTTCCAGTTTTGCCAACACCATTTGTTAAAAAGACTGTCATTTCCCCACTTAACTGATTTCATCTCCTTGTCAAAAATCAGTCGACCATAAATAGATGGATTGATTTCCAGATTCTCAATTCTATTCCATTGATCTATGTGTCTGTCATTGTACCAGTACCATGCTGTTTTAAATACCACGGCAGTGTAGTGGGATTTGAAATCAGGGAGTGAAATGCCTTCTACCTTTTTTCTGTTCTTAAGGAGTGCTTTGTTTATTCTGGGCTCCTTTCCATTCCAAATGAAGCTGGCGATTGCCTTTTCCATCTTGTTGAAGAATGGGATTGGTATTTGTATTGGGATTGCATTGAACGTGTATATTGCCTTCGGTAGTATTGCCATTTTGACAACATTGAGTCTTCCTATCCATGAGCAAGGAATATTCTTCCACTTCTCCAGGTCTCTTTTTGTTTCTTGTAGTAATGTTTTGTAATTTTCTTTGAATAGATCCTTTGTGCTTCTAGTTATATTTACTCCCAAATATTTTATCTTGTGATTAGCTATTGTGAAGGGTATTGTTTGTATGTTGATCTTGTATCCTGCTACTTTGCTGAATTGGTCAACTATGTCCAATAGTTTTTTTGCTGAGTCTTTAGGGTTTTCTATGTATACTATCATGTATGGTACGATTTTTTAAAACTAAAGAGTAATTCAGAATAAGAAAATACTTTCTAATAATTAGGACTTGACAACACTAGAATGCATTAGCTGTCCCCCAAAGGATAAACAGGGTTGATAGTCTGGAAAGTAGCCTGTTGTCCCTTATACTCTCTCACTGTGCTTTGTCAACCCTCAGCCAGCCCAAGGAGAAGAGAAATCAGTGTGTGTTGAATAACGTGTTTGCTCTAAGCCACACGCGATGCTGTGAGCTCAGTACATTAATAAAAAGTTACTGGTGACTGGGTAGAAATGGAATCTGCTCTGCCGCAGCTACCCACTTTCTAAGAGTGTTTGTGAGAAACCAATCTGATGGAATTCTAGAATGTCTTGAGATGGACCAAGACTGATAGCAGCTCTCTTACCATTTAATTCTGACAAAGTGCCACAAATATCATTTCCTGTAGAGGTGTACATGTGTAGTTTTCATTACAGCATATTTCTGGTGTGACTATTTGGAATCACATATTTTGCTTGAGACTTATTATATAGGTCTTAAAAAGATTTTTAGTAAATTCCACTAGCTTTATTTGTAAATTAATTTGTGGCTTTTCAACAACTGATTAAAGCAAAATTGTGTTCATGTTGATGGCAGTATTTCTTAGAATGGAAGAATAGGTGAGAGGCCAAAGGTAAATATTAGAGTTTTGAAGTTTCCTTTGAGGCATGGCTTCAGTTGAAAATAACCCAGAGTATAGATCTTTTCTCCTTGGCAAACAGGCTTTTCTGTAGAAGGGCTGGGCAAACCAAACATGAAGCAAACAGAAAGGAACTTCTGTGATGTGACACCAAGATAAATAAAGATTATGAGCACATGAGCGTTTTGTATGCTGAGGTCAATTAGTGAACTGCTCTTATTTTATTCTCCTCTCATTTACCTTTGGCAAACTAATTTCCTACCATGTAAAACTCTTTCCTGCTACAGCAGAAAAATTTAACCATCCTGCCAGGCTTCATCTGACTCTGCCCAATTATACACCCAAACATACACAGAGAGAGAGAAAGAAATTAAACTGTGCTCACACTTGTTGATTTCTAAATGTCTCCATAATATGATTCCTGATATTAGGAGGCTGTTTAAGCAGCTGCCAGTGCACAGAGCTGTTTTATTTAATATTCATGTAAATATGATGCTCAGTGACTTTAAATTATTTGCCTTTTCATTTTCACTTGTGGTTGTTATGTGCCACCGAGTCACCTGTGACTCCTATCAACCCTATATATAATAGCTCTGAAGCCTGCCCTGTTCTGAGCCAGTCTCACTGACTCCGACAATCCTACCCCCATTGCCCTAATTACTGTATCAACCCATCTCATCCGGGGTCTTCCTCTCCTGCACTGTCCTTCCACCCTTCCTAGCATGCTGCCCTTCTCCAAGGACCAGTCTCTCCTGCCATGTGTCCAAAGTATTTGAGATGGAGCTTTGAAATCCTGCCCTCCAAGGAGAAACTTGGTTTCACCCTCTCCAAGACAGACCTATTTATTTTCTTGGTGGTCCATGGTATATTGAAGACTCTTCTCCAGCACCAAAATTCATTTTCACTTAGAGTAACTTAATTATCCGAATTTTCTCAATCCTTTTGTTATATATTAAACAATACAAGCCCAGATGACATGTATAAACTTTTTTACCACTATCACCTTCTGCGCCCTGCACCCCCATCAGAACCCTCCTCTCTAAACTGTTTTGCCAGGCTGTCCAGAGTCTCTGATCACCTGGAATGACGCCAGTACCTCATCTCCACTGGCTGCAGTCAACCCGATGTGGGGAGAGGGGAGGGCTGGCTCCTGGCTGCTGCTTCTCGGGCACAGCCACCTGCCCGAGCCCAGCGCGGCCACGGCAGCATCCTTTATGCCATCTCTGGAGAGCAGCCCTGGGAACAGCAAGGCAGGCCATTCTCAGGAAAGCGCATGGATGTGTCAGTTAAGGATGGCTTGTTTCAGTCTCCAGAGTGTCATGTTAGAAGCAGCTCCGTTGCCTTAGTAAGAAACCCCTGAACCAAATAAGCTTTCACTCATTCAGAAGACACTCACTGAGTCTTCTGAAGATCCAAATAAAAAGACACTTTCCACTCCTCCCGAGTTGTCCCTGAGAACTCTGGTGCGTGGCTGTGCACAGGCCATGTGCAGCACTGTTTCTAGCTTTGTCTGCGGTGGTGCTGGTGGTGCTGGTGGCGGCCGACAGAGCCGGCCGGTGTGCCAGGCCACGGAGGAGCCAGCATTGACATGGTGTGCATTCTTTTCCAGTCCTGGCAGCTGCCGTGTTTGCTTTCCGAGCAGTGAACCTGATGGAGGTGACATCACTGGCTGCAGCTGAAGTAAGCTAAGTTTCACGGCGATGAGATGGAAATAGTTCCTGAGAGAGTGCCAGCCCAGCCACCCCAGGCTCAGATGCATAGGACACACGTTTCTCGTAGCCTCATTTTAGAACTGGGGAAAAGCCCCTTACATTCTGAGCTAAGTCATCTCAAGTATTCCAAATTCTTTCACTACTTGAAACCAGTCTTCTTGTGAAGAGGCCATTAAGCAAGATTGCTATAAGGGACTGTTAAAACAGTTTTAAGAAACTTGGTATCTACTCATTTCCATAAAAACTGTCAGGGCTTATGTTGTCCTTTCTTGTTATTTCTTGTTCCCATCCACATTATGCTCATAGAACAATCAAAAAACACCGAACTTCCTGAGAGGGCTGAATGGTGTGTGTTTGGATGATGTCATGATGATATGGAGGCTTTGGGGATTATTTTAAATCATAAGTTAATTATTTAGAGCTTATTTCTTTTCAGTAGCATAATTTATACTTGAAATATGGCTCAGTTGAATAGTGGCTTACCATATTACTTTGTTTGTTATTGCCCATAGAAATGTAAATTTTATCCTTAAAATAGCTGCCTACATTTAAAAAAAAAAGAAAAAGGAAGGGGATGTTTATATGTCTCGCAACTGAATAAACATTAGTTTCATCTGAAGATAATTTCCTGAAGTCAGTTGCTCCTTATTCTAGTATAACAGGACTAGGATTCATAATGTACGTTTATTTATAGAAGCAAGTTGAAATGTTAGACCTCTTATAAACTCATGCTACCTTGTATATTTGAAGAAGGCTGAAGGCTGGTCCAGGCTGTGTTCTACTTCACGTTTTAGCACTCTGTACATGTACTTACCCTGAGAAATTCAGAAAAGGGAAGGAAAGAGGCATAGGAAATATCTGAAGAATTTAGAGTGCATGTTGATGCTAGGATTACCTTCTAGTGTTTTCTGTTAGACCTTATGTTATCCACTTTACTTTGGGATACTAATATTAATAATTCTTCTTGGGTTTTTTTTCAGGCAGTTCTCGCTGACCTTTCCACCTTAAAAGTTATGCCTCTTCTTCAGATTTTTCTGTTTGCAACTGTCACCTGATCTTCAGGGTCACACAGAAAACACATCGAGCTTTTCATTAGAAACTAATCATGAACTATGCAAACTCTGCATAAAACCAAAATGAAACTTTGCATAGAAGCCAATAAAGATCATGTTCCCTTTGCAGTTAGACTGAAGCCGTTTTTCACTTTCTGAAACAATGACTGCGCACCAAATACTGCACTGCATGCTGCTAGTTTTTCAAAAGCGAAGCAATAGACCTTAACTTCTGCTCAACTGTGCATACTTGTATATACAACCCTGGCTTGGAAAAGGCATGTAACCATATATGCAATAAGAACTGAAGAGACTGCAATAAACTTGAAGAGGTAATGTAGCTTCCGGAGCAGTTCTCCTATGTCAGTTTGTAAATTTATCACTGGATAATGTATTTTCCCTAATGAAATGCTCTTATTTCAGAGCTGTGAGTGCAGAGTTTGGGGGGGGGGGGGTGAGGAGACTTGTGTAAGTTAATGATGCTTATGAGTAGAATTCAAATGTTCTTTGATGTTTTTAGCAGCTCTCTCACCAGAGACCTTCTAGATCCTTCTCCATTTTATTTTTCCCTTAAAGAGAAGGGAAGGTCAAATACCATTGCCTCCCTGTGACTTTTTCCCTTCTTCTTTGCCCTGAAAAACATGAGTAAATGATAGAGGTGATCCTTTTGAACTTCACAGCCTTCAGTCTCTTAGTTTGAACACTTGGCACTGCTGATGTCTATTGTCAGATCCTGATACTTTGGAAGCACGGAAAAGATGCCCCAGGGAATGATGGAAATGAAGACTCCAAACCACACCCACTGTGACTGAGGGCTGCTTTAACAAGATTTACGGCTAGGGCACAACAGCTGAGGGAGTCTGGGAGAGGTACTAGACGTTCATTTTAGAACTGTAGACGTCATGCAAGACATCACTCTTATTTTGGTCTTTACTAAAAGCAATAAGTGTTATTTCATGTTACTTATAAAGGCCCACCATATCTTTAAAGTAGATTAATAGTAGAAAGGCCCAAAAACTATTCTGTCTTGATTTTAGACTCAAATTTAATATGCTGATAATGTAAGAAAAGCCATAAATTAATTTGAAACTCATGAGTTATTAAGAATTTTATTCATTTTTATCCAAATGTATTTACTGAGTTTTGTTATTGTTGTTTTATACCATCAAATCCACATCGACCCATAGCTGACCCTCCAGTGAGTGGTTTTTTGGAGGCAGTAAATTGCACAGAAGGAGATTGCCCATCTTTCTCCCACAGAACAGCAAGTGGATTCGAATCTTTTGGGTGGCAGTGCAACTCCTTAGCACTAAGCCATCACAACTCCCTCCCGAGTCTTATTTACAGCATATACATTATGGACAATGTGAGGTTGAACATCAGACTGCAAGTATGGTGTTTGATATAACTTGTTATTAACTTGAAGCCTATGTTTTTAAGGAAAGCATAATATCGGTTCTCTTCTAAAAGACTTGACCCAAGCTATGGCATTTTTAGTTGCTCTGTATGCATGTGAAAATCAGACACTGAATAAGGGAGACAGTAGAAGAATGGACGTCTTTGAATTGTGATGCTGGTGAAGAGTATTGACTATACCATGAACTGCTAAAAGAACAAACAAGCAGAACCAGCGTGCTCCTTAACGGCAAGGATAATGAAACTTCATCTCAAATAACTTGGTCATGTCAGGAGGCACCAGTCCTTGGAAGAAGAGATTTTGTTGGGAAAGTGGAGGGTAAGCAAAGAGGGGAAGACCCTCAATGAGATGGACTGCCAAAGGGGCTTGAGCACGGACAGATGGTGAAGATGGATGGTGCAAGATAGGGTCAGGTTTCCCTCTGTGTTTCTAGGACCGCTAGAAGTCCTCGTCACCTTGACAACACGTAAGAACTGCATTTCATGTTTTCTTCTTCCGTCATTGTGTTACTAAGACCTAAAACATTTAATTGACTCAGTAAATCCCCTTTATTGCCTTTGAAGGTGATATATTTAAAACCAGGTGCTTTAAAAAAAATCGAACAAAAAAAAAAAACAGGTGCTTTGTCATTCTCCTCGTGCACGTGCACATGCACATGCACCAGTGGACTAGCAGATGCTTAAAAAATTAAATCGTATGAGGGAAAGAGAGAGAATTTTAAAATTATTAAGGCCCTAATTGTACAGATTTGCCATCTTTGGCTTCTTTCTTTCTCTGAATATTCATAAGCTTTTTTGGAAGAGGCAGTGTAATAATTGTTGCTGCTGTCGATATGTGGTCTGGGGAATTCTGGTTTGAGTTTTAAGTCCTGACATCACTTAATTGGGCTTATCTATAATTTTGTGGGGGCAGGGCAAGTATAAAATTGTTATCCTTATCTTACAAAGTTAAGTAGGATGAAATTAGAAAGCATATTTGAAAGTACTTTTTTAAGCTACAAAGGTATAAGCATATATAAGATGTTGTTGACAATTAGGTTTACATATAGCATCAAGTAGAGGAAGATAATGTACACTTCCTTCTCACTCACCAGCACAGTTCAGATCTGAAGACCAGGTTGTCATTGTGAAAATTGGCCTGTGAGAATGGATGATGATCACATGAGATCACACCATGGAGGGTCAGTACATCATTAAATAACTGCTGGTTAAATTCTTGTAGAACTGATGACCAATCCACTGAGAATCCTGGCCACGCCAACTTGACACATAAACTTAACCATCACAGCCAGTGTTATTATAGCCTAGCACCTCCACATTCTTTCATGACTGCCTGACATACATGGTTAATGTGAGAAATAGTTGGATAGTAGATTTTTCCCTGTTATTGCAAAATGTCAGATAAAATAATAAATGAGGAGTAGAGCATGAAGAATGCCTAGCCTTATTAGCATTCCTGTGATTTACTTAACAGTGTGAGACTATGTCTTTAAAAACTCACTGGACCACAGCATAGCAGATCCTGTCATTTAGAACAGATAATTTCAGCCAGTGGTGCAGAGTCTGAAGCTCCAAACTGTGTCTGGTAGTCTGCCGCATGTTCTGCTGCTTCAAACCCTTCTCTGCTACAAACCATTCTCAGCTGCTTGTTTAAATATTGTACTTAGGCCACTCAGGAAGCCTCACCCTACTTCCCTTAGCTTCCTTTCTCCTGCACCACCCTAAGCCAGCCTCTACCACCCCATGACCCTCTCCTCCACCAGGAATCACAAGGATCTGAGTCACCAGTGGTGCTTACGTAATTGTTCAGTGACCACTGGCAGTGATGATGGCATCGCCTGAAGACAAAGTGTATTTGGCCCCTGTGGATGTTCATTCATTCACTGATGTAATATAATTCACACACATATACAGCCCCTCTCCTCACCCCCACATATGGACTCTTCTCTTGGACACCTGATCAGAACATTTCTGAAATGCAGCATTTTGGTTACTAGAAACTTCCAGGTCACCTCAGCTGCATAGAACCCTGTCAGACTCAGCTTGTCCTCACCACTCCTATTTCACAGACATAACAGAGACTGTGAGACTCACACTTTCTCAGCTTTCCACCTTAATACTTATAACACTTAGTACTATCTCCCAACATGTGTTTCAAAAAGAGTATTATCTATCCCTACAACTTTTGAAATATAGACTTGACTGTGTGTCACTTATATCTAAAAAAAAAATCCAACAACACCCTATTATCTAAAGAATAATAACATCTGTATGGTGGTGGTGGTGGTGTGTACCGTATAACTGGAACTGACCCATAGCTGACCCTCTGCTGGGCTTTCAGAGGCCGTTAATCATACGGGAGGAGAATGCCCATCCTTCTCCCACAACATCTGTATAATGCAGGGAAACTCTACAGCGTGGTCTTTCAGTTCTTACACTCCCACACCTGAGCCTTCTCCTGTGCCTCAGCTTTACCGTATTACACAAGGATACAGCCATGCCCAAGGGCTTTTGTCTCTACCAGAAGGACTTTGCCCATTTTTCAAGGCCCCATTAAAAGACTCTATTGTGATGCTACCTGAAGCCTATAAATTAGAGTTAAGTATACCTTTCTCTTTCTTATAAAGTTGTTCATTCTTTAATATCATACCCATAATATTGAGTGACAGTGTTTTGACAACATGTTCTCATTCTTAGTTACTATGTTGTCAAGTTTAAAAAAAAATGCGTGCATATATTATGTCCACTGACTAGTTCTGAAAATTGTTGAGATCAAATCTTAAAATGTAATTACCCCTTAATATCCTTTCTCCATTCTCCCTCAGAGATTCTAATTTCTCTTTGAAGACCTACCCCTCCACCACGCAGCTCAGGCGAGGTCAGCTCTCACTCTGGGCCCTGGACAAGCCATTCACCATGTACCATACACCACCTCTGTTCACAGGATCATTCCCATAACCAGGGTGAAAGCTAAGACCAGCGAGTGCCGTGAAACCAAATTACAAGACTTTAGTTTAATATTTTAAGAATCAGGATTTGAGCAACTCAAAATGTATGCTACAGAATTGCCATAACCTAGGAATAGAGAATTCTCTTGTGAGCTTTGATGACATAGGGATTTCCATAGGGATAATCCACAGGGATTTATATTACTGACTCAAAGTTATCACTTGTTTTGTGGTTTGAATCTACCAGCAGCTCCAGAGGAAAAAGATGGGTAAGTCTTCTCTGACATGAGTCACAGCTCCTGAAAACACTGGAAGGTCAGCTATGGGTCACTCCCTACTTGACAACAGTGGGGTTTTGAGGAATAGAGAATGTTGATCCCCAGGCCACATTCCACCAGCTACTCCAGAGCTACAACAGAGAGACCCAACTGATAATACAGACACTTTACTCTTTAAGGGATCTTCTGTAGCATGAGTTTCATATTGAATACAGAACTCCAGTGCGTAGTGGTCAAAGTAGAGGAATGGAGTTTTTTTGGGGGGGAGGGTTGGTCTGAATTTTGTTGGGGTGGTTTGTAGAGTTTCTTTGGTTTGGTTGGGGTTTTGTTTTGGTGGTTTTCCCCACTTTTTCCTTCAGAGATATGAATTCTGTGTTCTAGAAAATCTAATGATGTACCTGACATTGCTTGAACGCTTAACATGTCTTTTTCCTTTGACCTCTTGTCTATACAATTCTCCATGATTGGAATTCCTTCTCGTCCCTCTGTGC